GTTTGACTTTTCCTCAAATAACTCAAATATGCTTTTCTATAAGGATTATTATACAAAATGGTCCCTAAAATTTACATGATCAATAAAAATGGTCTCTGAGATTGAAAATCAATAGAAATGGTCCCTGAGATTGTCCACTATCCATGATTTTGGTCATTCCGTTAAAAACTCTTTGGGCAATTTTCAAAGCAACTCAATCGATTCTTAACCAAATTCGACCCATAATATATCAAAACGACGATAAAAAAGTGTAGAACAAGATTATACCTATTTGGAAGCCCAATGATTATCAGAGATGGCCAGAAAATAGCCTGAAAGGTGACTGGTCCGCGAGAAAACTGGAAAACTCGCCAGAAACTGGGTAAACTTTAAACATTGATAACTTCTTCAATACTCAATGAAATCGAGTGATTCAAAAACTAAAATCATACTTCTCGATGAGACGAAGATGGTATCTTTATTTACTGCTAACTTGCTGTGGTTTGACCGAAAAAGTGCTCGAAAGTGGCTAACTCGAAAATGGTTAGCCACTTTCGAGCCGTTGTCCAACCAAATCAAGGCGAGTTAGCCTTCGAAAAAGGTACCATTCTCTTTGTCTCATCAAGAAGTATTATTTTCGTTTTTGAATCACTCAATTTGGTTGAGTATTGAAGAAGTTATGAACGTTTAAAGTTTACCCAATTTCTGGTGAGTTTCCAATTTTCCCCAGACCAGTCACTTTTCAGGCTATTTTCTGGTCATCTCCAGCAACTATTGGGCTTCCAAATGATATAATCTTATTCTACACTTTCCTATCTTCATTTTGATATATTATGGGTCAAATTTGGTTAAGAAACGATTGAATTACAAAACTTTGAAAATTGCCCAAAATCGTTTTTAATGGAAGGACCAAAATCATGGATGGTGGACAATCTCAGGGATCATTTCTATTTATTTTCAATCTCAAGGACTATTTCTATTGATCATGCAAATCTCAGGACCATTTTGTATAATAACCCTTTCTATAGAAACTATACAGATTTGATCTCACAGCCCAACTAAAAACTCAGCCACATAGTCACTTAGTACTACAGTCTAGTAGTATTTAAAAGTAAGAGGCCTTAGGCTTGAATTTCGTAGATAGTGAATTCTGTTGTACTAGTATGTTAGGTGCAGGAGGTTTGAGGAGGCTTTGGATATGTTTCGGTGGATGTCATGTGAAAGCAACGAGAAGCCTGATGAAGCTACGGTTGTGACCACCATTTCTGCTAGCACAACATCGAAAACTTTGGAGCTTGGTAAAGAAATTCATGAATATGTTAGAAGTGAGCTTGGATTCACTACCAGAACTGGAAATGTGGTTGTTGAATATGCATGTAAAACTTGGTTATTTGATTGAAGGCCGGAGAATTTTTAATGGGTATACAATACAAACGTTTTAACGAGGTAGTGGCTCTATTCCAAGAGATGCAAACTAAAAGAGTTAAAGGGGATAAATTTACAGCGGTTGCTCTCCTCACAGACTGTGCTCCGTTGGGAGCATTAGAGCAAGGGGAATGGATTCATGGGTATATCGAATACAACAAAATTAAAAATTGATGCAGTTGTTGTTGGTACCGCGGTTATAGAAATGTATGCAGAATGTCGGAGCATAGACAAATCTTTGGACTTCAATCATTTATGGGCTTGCATGGAATGGCAAGACAAGCAAAGGAATCAAGTTCTCAAAAATGGTACAGATTGGCATGAAGCCATGGACGGAGTTAAGGAAGGCTCACTGAGGGCAGATGCCCCTACTCAAGTAATTTGTTTATTCAGTTGCAGACTACAGTTATATAATATATATGTCTTAGTTTTGAAGAAAATTATATGCATTTAATATCCAACATATCTTCATATTACTTACACTCCATATCAAATATTATATGAGCAAAAGTGCTCTTATTCTGTCATTCAGACGAAAAAAAAAATCCTCTTCCGCCTATTATGTATTAGTATATTTGATATCACTTTTTCACTTTTTACTACTATACTAAAATTCTTATAACATTGGAATTGTGATACAACATCATTTGAAATAATCCATGTTATCATATTGAGTATAAGCTATGCTATACTATAATAAGATTTTCTTAGTTGTTTTTTTAGTTGCCCCCATTAGAAAAAATTTCTAACTCCGTCCCTACATGAAGCCTAATGATTTCACCTTCATTATTGTCTTAATTGACTGCGTTCAACTCCAAGAGAAAGATATATGAGATTGAGCGAGATTAGAACACTATGGTTGCCTGATCGACCTTCTTGGCCGTGCTAGAATGTTAGACGAAGTAGAGGAGTTGATAGAAAGGGTTCCAAGTGAGATTATAGTCCCGATTTCTATATGTTTGCATCCATGGTCAGTAACTGTACATTTCAATCTAAAATTTTGATTTAGGACCGAAAAAGTCTAAGTATGATGCTAATAATTTGGTTCCACATAAGAATATGAATATTTGTAAAATGTGGGAAATCGTAATAGCAAGCAGCAGTACTATTAGGGGGCGTTTGTTGCGCCGGACTATCTCGGACTGGATTAGCTTCAAGGACTAAGCTGGACTGGCTTAGACTAGACTAAACTGGACTAACTTAGTGAAGCGTTTGGTGCAGTATTGGACTAAGAAGGTGGATAATAACAAATTCTAATATTATATTATTTAATATATAAATTATTAATATTTTATTATGATCTTATCTTTTTCTTCATCTTTTCCTACCATTTCCGTCCCACTCTTTTCCTCTTCTCTCATCATCCCACCCTCTCCCTCTTTTTTTCCTCTTAGACCTCTCAATTCATGTCTCTTTCTCATTCCTGGTCAAACTCCTTATTGATTCCAGTGTCTATTTCTTTGTCCTCCCTCCCTCTCTAGCTATGTGTTGTTCGAATGGAACCTCACGGCTCCAATTTTCCCAACGAGTTGCAGGTTTCCCGATGTGTTTTCCGGCCAACCCTCGTTAAATTGGATGAAGTTAGCACCGCCAAAAAATTCATCACCATCCCTAGACCGAGATCTTAGCTTTGAATGCTCGAATCTGTCATGGATTTGAAGAAGTCCAAACAGGCCGAGACTTCCAGGCCATTTTCCGGCCACATTCGACCACATTTTGGCCTCTATTCAGGTAAAATCGTAATCTTGTCACTCCCAGCTTCAATTTGGTATATTTTATATGAAAGTTGGTTGTGAAATGGATCTGAAAGGGAGTCGGAAAGTTAATGATTGATCTAGGTGACCGGAGATGACGAGGAGTCTGTCGGGAGTGGTCGTTGAGCATGACGAGGACGAGAAAGAGAGGATAGTCTTAGCTAGTCCCATGGTTATTGGGGGGTCTCGCTAAGACCTCTTAGTGAAGGGTTTTGTCCATGCTAGTCATCTTTAGTCTCATTAATGTTAGTCCCAGCATGGAACAAACACACTATTGGACTAATAGCTAGTCCAGTCCAATCCAGTCTAACTTAGTGAGGGCAAACAAACGCCCCCTTAGACTACTCGAGTAACGAAAGACTTCAAAGTCCAATGAAAATGATCAATTACTGTTTTGAAGATGGTGACCAGACAAATATGCAGCTTAAGTAAGAGCCTTTCTCTACTGCTTTATCCTTTCTTTCCTAGCTTCACGTTCTTTGTCATCTTGCTTCACAGATGCCGTCTTCCGTATATAAATCACGGATCTGGATTATCTACCCTCCTCATTCCATACCCTTCACATCTCTTTCTATATTCTGTGATCAAGATTAAGTCACTTTAACATTTTTATATTGATTTTTTTTATAGAAATAATAAGACAAAAAATAATGAGAATATAAAATGTTAACGTGACTTAACCGTAACCACAAAAATAAGAGTGGATGGGAAGGGCAGACAATCCAGGTCTATAAATCACACTCTCGAAGTGAAATGACGCAAGTCAAGTCTCCTCTTGGCCTTTTACTGTTTATTGAGATCTATCATTATTCACAGAGTGAATAAATACGCTGGGTGTTGACGCAAAATTTTTAGAAGTGGAATTGCTTTTAAAAGCAAAACACCTTTGGTTAGTAAGACCAACTGACCCTACCGACATGTAACAGAATGGTGGAAAAGCCGGAGCTGCTTTTTCAGGAAAACCAAAGAAGTTTTCAACAATGGTTTCCACTTTACTGATGAGATTATAGTTCTACTTTCCGCGGTGTTTTATTTAGTGCCACGTAAAACGGATTTTACACAAATTTTTTATTATGATCGGAACACAAATCATACATTACATATTTTTATATAAGTGGTGAATAATTTTATTTTTTAAGTTATTAACTTTTTAACAAATATATTCTACCATTTGTATAATCACACGAAGAATACCACTCCGTATTCTAATCACACTGAAAAATATCTTACATTCAGCAGTGTAAATATACATAAAATGCTGAAAAATCTCTCGCGTTCACCATTTGTAGGTTTTACTTAGATGCAAAGTCTCATCTGTTCACCAATCAACACAATGGGTTCTATATAAATAAACCCATAAAACCATTATCCCAAAACGTAAAAAATAAGAGTTAATTTTTATTCTTGAGAAATAGTGTTTTTTCATTCAGTTTTTCTCATTATTTGTTTGTCAAATTTCGAATCATATCTTGAAAGTACAGAATATATAAAATTCGTTAGAGTTCAAAGATTGCGATGTTTTGACTTCGAATTATAAATTGTTTCATCCCGAGAGAAATAATTGTCTGAGATTCGTCAATCTTGTTATGAAAGAGGGTATTTGTGTTATGCCTGTACAGTGTGCCTTAAGTATTCTCAATAATACCATCTCCCATAAGCCCTCAAGCAGTTCTATGAATCTTCGACAGCAAGTAGAAGAGTCTCACGAGATTTCAACTTTGTGCAATATTTGCAGAACCCTATGAAACACTCCATCTTTGTCACTTAAAAGTGTACTGTTTAATTTGCAGTGAGTATTGAGACTATTAGTCTAATACCTGTACAAATGTAACACAAATATCCAGTGAAAAGAGAGAAATTTGCACAGATAGGATAATTTTTTCACACATATATACTTTTCTACGTAGCACGTAAAATCCTTTAGCTTTTATAATCTTCTGAACTTGATTAAGCTACAAAACAAACGATCACAATTTAAATGTTTACAACACAATCAGTCTTTGTCTAAGCTATATGCTCATTGGTCTCATCTATGGTCTGCATTTGTTTCCTACTTAATCTCGCTGTAATCAAACATATAAGAAAGAGGGCAGGCAAAAGGGACATTTTGATAGGAGTATCAGCACGCCGAATGTAATAAACATATTGAATTATTGAGCAAACACACTGAGCGATGCCTCCGACTAAACCATAAGTTTCAATGGCATAACCAAAAAGCATGTAACATCCCCTCTTCCTCCATCCCACATCTTTTTTCCTACCTTTGTAAATCAGCTCCCATATGCAAGTGAGAAGAGCTGCTATAGCAAGGAGCATACCGAACAGTGAATACCGAGGCCTATTTGGGGACGAAGCCTGATCACAAGCAGCTGATAAAATCTCCATGCAAAGGCTACTTACTAGAAAGATCCACTCTACTGGATTTGCCTGCATAATAAATTAATAATGAGTTCAATTAAAACTTAAAGAAAAGGCTAAACTGAATTTTTGTCCCACAAATTTGGGTGGGATTAATTGAATACCATGTTAACTGATGAAATTGCGTTCTGAACAATTCTCCTAATAAGCTTTGCTTCATTCCTGAAAACTTAATTAGTAAGCACTAACTCAATGAAGGATTACTAGAAGCTATCACCTTCACTCAACAGTCAATATAAAGAATTAACTAAATGAAAAAAAAAAAATTATATATACATATACCAGTTCTTTTCCATTGAGAGATTCTTCAAATAATTTTATTTGATTTGACAAAGAAAAAAATAATTTTATTTGAGAAACGCCTTGTGGTCCTCATTCTATAACTTACTTTTCAGGATTCATTCATGCCATATATGGTCAAAAGAGAGAAAAAACCAAATTTATATTTTAAACAAAAAATATTATTTACACTAAGAGAAAGAGAGTGAGCTTAATCTCACAAAAAAAACAAAAAAAAAAATGTTATAATTTGTATATGAATTTGTTGTTCCATTCCGATTGGGCCTTCAATTGCTTGAGTGGACCCATCAGCCCATCTGTTTGGTTCCTTTTGTTTGGGCCTTTATATTTGGCGCTTCCCACATGATGTTTCTCATTGATGCAATTATATACGTATACAAGTTGCTAAACTAGCATATATCAATTTGATACATAAATTTCAACCTAAAATCAACTTGCAATATATAGGAGAGAGATGCCAAATATCTTTTAAACCACTTGAACCAAATAACCTTAATTTTTTATGCGTGGACTTGGAGTAATGCATATAACTCAAAATTTTCTTTTTATTAACATTATTTTTTAAATCAAATTTACAAATCATGTGAAGTTTCACTAAAATCAAGAACCGCATCATATGATTTGTAAAAGGAGAATTTTGATTTAGATGCTTGATATTTAAATTTGTTAGACCAAACATGCCTAGCCTTCAACTTTTTATTAATCTACTTTCTACATTTGAGCCACATTTTTTAAACTACCCTTTCTAAGATTCAAAAATAATATCCAAAGCTCCTAAACCTACCCTTCTTTATACCAAAATTATTATGATACCAACTAAGTTATAAATCAATGATATGTACAAAAAAAAATAAAATTAAACGTACCAAAAGCTAAAATTAAACTTACCGAACACTAAAATTAAACGTACCACTCAACCATATGTACAAAAATAAATATACCAAAAATAAAAAACAAACGTACCAATCCATAATATGAATAAAATTAACGTATGAAAACTAATGATAAGCATACTAGTAATGTATAGAAATAATTCTCTCAATAAATGTATACGTGATAATTTGAAAAAAAATAAATAAATAAACATCCACCATTTTTGTTATCTTGAAGATAAGATTATGTTTTAATTTAGGAGATCAAGATATTTTGTACGAAAAAATATTATAAAAAAAAAATAACTGGATAAATACTTTTAATGAAAAACCATTGATTATCTCTTAAAATAGAGTCCACAACTTCTAAAACACTTTAAAAAAATTAGCAGAAAATTACAATAATAATTTTGAATTTGATAAGGAGAAAAACTGATGCGGCCCAATGTACCTAAGTGTCTGAATCAAGATCCTTAAAGACACAGATGTTTGATAAAAAAACATTAAAAGTTAGGGGTTTAAATCTAATCAAGCCTATGTAAAATATGTTTTAAATAGAAGATGTCGCTACTATTACTCATATTTTATCTTGCAAATCTTGATGTTTCAGCGAAGCTATTTTTCCTGTGTGCTATTTGCATAACAACCATTCATTAACATGTTTCAGAATGTGGAAAAGCCGAAAATATATAGCAGCATTACTATTAAACTAGCCTAGTATTGAAAGACGTCCAAGTCCAATGAAAATGGTTACCCGTTATTAAGATAGTAGCCAGACAAATTTGCAGCGTCAGTAAGAGCCTCTCGCCACTGCTTTACCCTTTCTTCATGGAAGCGCTCTTCGTGCCTCTGAAATGCTTCGGCAATATAACTCTGCTGGTTCCTCACTTCTGCAGGATGGACATCATAGAATATTGGCCAAACCTTTTGCCCCAGCTTTTTTCTACATTCCATGATCTTCACCAGCTCGTCAAGAAGCCATCCTGATTCCGCGTAATGCTTTGAGAAGACAATGATCGAGATTCTGGACTCTTCGATTGCCCGCAACATTTCGGGTTGTATTTCTTCCCCTCTTTTCAGATTGTCCTCTTCAATAAAGGCATGGAAGCCCCTGTCTTGTAATGCCGCGTGAAGGTGGCCCGTGAAGCCATTGCGTGTATCTTCGCCTCTAAAACTCACGAACACGTCGTAATTCCATAGTTTTGAGGATGAGGGTTCATGGGATGTCATGGTGTGGTGTTCCTGTTTACGGCACTAGAGTGGTTCCAATCGAGTGAGGAAAATGGCAGCACAAGAGTGCATATAACACTGAAGGGACACTTTTTGGTTCTTTCCAGGACGCGTTCCGCTCCCATTCTTTGGCTCTTTCCGGGAAGCATCCGCCCCAGGTTTTGAAGAAAACAAAGGACGTTTCCAGTGGAAAACCACGATGTTCGTGGCCTCACGATCTGATCACTGGACGGCTACGATTGAAAAGATGGGAGAAAAACAGCTTTAAGATGAAACCGCGTTCAACAAAGTAAAACGACACGTACTGATGGGACTTTTAATAAGTTTTTTTTTTTTAAGGCACCATAATTCCAAATCAGTTCTAGCAATAACCAGAAATGCTATTTTTATCATTTTTCATATTATATTTATATCATCTTTCTAATAAAAACGGATCCACATGTATTGATAAGTTATACATCTATTAAAGAGGTGATACAATGTGATATGAAAAATGTGATAAGTATAATGTTACTCTTGAGATCAATAAAAGGATAATACTTGCATCCCCTTCAAGGATGCATATATTCTTACATTTGTAAATTTTGAGCATATAAACTCAACTATCAAAATTATTCAATCTCTTAATAATTATTTGAAGGCCACTCATACAAAAAAAATCAAACCAAAAATCGTTTAATTATCCAAACATATCAAATAAATAAACAATTAACCATGAATATATTACTTAGTATAATTACTATATATTTTAATGACTAAATAATCTCTTAATCAAATTTTTTTATGGATAAAGATCCTCTCCTGAGCTAAGGGTGAGGATCCTCCTGAGCAAGCCCATTGGGTCATTGAAATTTTATTCAACGGCTACAAACAGGGGGCCCTTTTAAAAATTATAATAATTATAACCGTTGGATAAAATTTCAATGGTCCAATGGGCTTGCTCAGAAAGATTCTCACCCAAAGCTCATGAGAGCATCCTGATCCTTTTTTTATAATGGTGATCATTAAATTGAGATACTCAAGTCAAGTCTCCTCCCAAAAGCAAAGCACATTCGGTCAACAAAGACAAAAGTCATCTTGTAACCCTAGCAACACGGTAATAAAAAGGTGGAAAAGCAGATCGAGCTGCTTTTTGAAGAAAAGCAAGGTAGTTGGCCACAATCTGAAAACTGGATGGCTAAAATTGAAGATTGGGCGAAAACTGCCTTTGGAGAAAAGAAGACGTTCAACGGAAAATGGACAAACTATACCCCAACTGATGAGCTTCTAGTTCCACTTTAGGCGGTACTTAGTGCTACAAAACAGAGTGTACGACACATGCTAGTAACGCCATCGTTGATCAATGAGAAAACTGAGGTTCTACGAAGGGTAAGGGAAAGAGGCACGGAGGAGGAAAGAAACTAGCACAAAATTAGAGAGAGTCTATTACATTATCTTCACGTACAAACCAAAACAACCAAGTTTGAATTTGGTGGTTTCACTTTCGCATGGGATTTTATTCTCTTCTTTTTCTGAATTGGAGTGTTTCATCTTCTACTTGTTTAGTATTAGGGTTAATTAGATATAAGACCATTATACTAATCGATTTAGGTCCGTTGACTACTAATTCAACTAAGCAATTCTTTTTTATGGCCTATAACCCGTATGCAGGTTTTGCAAATTAAAATTTCAAAATCATGTAGTAAATGGTTGGATAATTCGCATCACCTAATTGCGATAAAGAATGTATACTAGAATTGAATTTATGATCCAATTCACTATTAGGTTTTAATAATTCATTGTTCTTTTAGTGTTATACTTGTATTTGTAGTTTGGTTTCTAGAAACTGGAGAAAAATCATTAGGTTTTAATAATGGAACAATAACGAAAAGCTTTTGGTACTGTTTACTTTAACGAAAAACCATATTTTTATCCTAAAAAGTCAATCCTGTTACTATTCACTTACAACATCTTTTTGTCATTTTCGTTAAAATTCAAAGTTTTCAATCAATTTTCATTAGTTTTCCCTTTTAATAAAAGCAGGGTTAAAAAGGTAGGGGTGTCTGGATAGATGCAGTTCAATTGAGATTACAAAAGAGATATTTTATCACATTTTTTATATCATATTTGTATCACATTTCTAATAGAGATGAGATTCACATGTATTGGTAAGTCCTATTTCTATTAGAAATGTGGTATGAAATGTGGTAAGAAAAATGTGGTAAGTGTAGGTTACTCTTAAGATTAATGGAAGGATAATACTTTGCATCCCCATGAAGGGATGCACACATTCTTACATTTGCAAATAACATATTTTAAGTATATAAACTTAATGATCTAAATCATTCAATTTCTTAATCATCATTTGAAGATCACTCATACAAAAAATCATTTGAATCGAAAATCATTTAATCATCCAAACATATCAAATAAATGAAGGATTCATCACGAATATGTTACTTGGTATCTATACCGTTGATTTGTACGTTCTATACATTTTAATGATTAAATGATCTCCGATTCAAATGATTTTCTGTAGCTGCGATCTTTAAATGAAGATTAAGAAATTGAATGATTCTGATTATAAATTGGATGATAAATATACATTATTTGCATAATGAAGAATAAGCTCATCCTTCAAAGTATGAATGCAAGTATTATACTTAATGAAATTGTCAATGAGTTTATTGTTGGCTATCCCTCTCACCCAAAAATGAGAGAGAGATACATTTTGTTGCAAAGTTTGATAATGCATTTATTATTGGGTTTAGATGAGATAACGGGGTGCAAAGAGTAAACCTAGGTCTAATTGGACTAATAAATGTTTAGATGTTCTAAAAATTTCATTGTCCTTATCTAAAATGCTATCATTTCGTTACTTTTCTATTTTTTTTGCTAGTCAGAGCATATTTTCACTATGCTGGCTTGTTTGCCAGCCCTAGCTGCCGATCTAGTTAATAGGCTTACCAGCTCTTATTTATAAAACGGAATCACGCTTAGAATTTGAACTTACGACATCGAGATTTGGAGACCTACATTGTACCCGATTAAATTAAGAGAGCTTTCTTATCACATGAAATACAAAGAGTGATGGTCCACACACAAATGAAAATCAAAAATCAAAAGCCATTTGAATTTGATTTCACTTTTCGTTTTGTCTTTCATTCCTTCTTCCCATGAACTTTGCATTATCCTTTTACATTGCTCACTTCTTCATATACTTTTCCTCCATTTCTAAATTAAAAACAAATTAAATCTAAAAACAAAAAATAAAGTTATCAAATTGACTGATATTTTGATTTAATTACAATAACAAAAATCTGAATTGTGCTCTTAAATTATCTGCTTCCACTAGAGAATCCAATTTTTTGTATCTTCTTAATTATAGTAATTTATACTAATATTCCATTAGAAGACTTGCACCACCTGAGGCTGCATGCTAATACCATATGAAGGCAAGATTATTCAATGCTAATCCTTGAAAATGAAATTCAAGAAATTTAATCATTTGGCTTGTTGTCATTCCTTTTACAAAGCCAGTTTTAGAGTTTATAAGTTAAATTAGGTTCCAATCCTTAGTTGGTGACATTTTCTCGATTGAAATCTTATGTCTTTTAAACTTTTTCAATACGATTTAATTCCTAAACATTTTGTTTATTTTTTTATTCTACCGAAAAAATTAAAATAAGTGGGAAAAAATATTTTTGTATTCATATTGCATATCCATGTTTATAATTTTTAGGTGCAATATTTATGTTTATATTATGTACCCCATATCAATTACCTATATGTTTTTTTTTTTTTTTTTTGGGTCCTAGAATGTACACATATGTCTATAAATATTGTCCCCATTTATGAACATGAATACATAACATGAGTCCATGAGGTTTACCCATATGTTTTTATTTTTATTTTTTCTCAGTCGTAGAATAAACCTCGTATGCAATCATATTAGGTTTATTCGAAGAAGGTATACCAAGGTTATATAATAAATTTTTTTGTAAGAGAATGTACCCAATGTTTTGTAGTACATTATTTTTTTGTTAAATTGATGAATGTTATTGATTTACCCAATGTTTTGTAGTACATTATTCCTCAAGGTACCCTTAAGGCTGTTATCGATGAATGATTGTGAAGATTATGATGATAGGTTATTTAAGAGTTTAATCTATTTTTAATATTTAAATCACAAATTATGAGTTTTTAATTCCATAAATACAGGTTACTGCAATTACAATTTTTAAATTTAAAAAAATAACATACATTAATACTAATTTGTTGAGGTGTACATAATTCAGTGACTTTAATCAAACATTGACAACCAATAAAGTTTCAATTAAAGTGTGACATCCCACATCACCTAAGGGAGTGATCCTATGTATATTCCCATCCTTACCTAGCACGAGGCCTTTTGGGAGCTCACTGGCTTCGGGTTCCGTAGGAACTCCGAAGTTAAGCGATAAGGGGGCTAGAGCAATCTCATGATGGGTGACTCACTGGGAAGTTACTCGTGAGTTCCCAAAAACAAAACCGTGAGGGAATGGTAAGCCCAAAGCGGACAATATCGTGCTACGGTGGTGGAGCGGGTCCGGGAAGTGATTCGCCTCAGGCGGGGATGTGACATAAAGAATATTGAAGAGCAAAGACCACATCCAAAGTCTCCCTTATAAGTTAATAGATTTTTTTTTTATTATTATTATAAAAAAAGGGGACAACTGGTGGCAAGTCACGGTTATCCATTCTTTTCGGGAACTGGAAAGACTCACAGAGACATTTCAGCCTTCCCTGGCCACAAGTCTGGCTTCCACACTAGTAGCGAGTTTCGCCTCCAAAACCTTTAGTTTTTAATTTGAAGGAAGCCTTGCAATCCGACGTTTACCTTTAGGCTACCAGCTCGTGGTTTATAAGTTAATAGAATTGATAGACTCATCATTTATCAACCGAATTTGCTTTCAAATTTCAACATACGATTAATGTGACATCCCACATCGTCCAGGGGAGTGATCCTTATATGTATATTCTCATCCTTACCTAGCACGAGGCCTTTTGGGAGCTCACTGGCTTCGGGTTCCGTAGGAACTCCGAAGTTAAGCGAGAAAGGGGCTAGAGCAATCCCATGATGGGTGACCCACTGGGAAG